ATAGTGACCAATAGTGGGAAACATGTATGTATTAATAATCTTCCTGAAAAGAGAGAGTGGGGTAGAGTAGAAGCAAAATTCTGCATGCAAAAATGATGCAATGCCTCTTCAACAATTCATGTCACTGTGAGCTAATTAAAAAATGTATTTATATCTTATATGTATGTGAATGCCTGCACATATGGATATGCACTATGCAAGTGTCTGGTGCCCACAGAGGCCAGAAGAAGCTGTCATTCCTGGAACTGGAGTTACGGGTGTTTGTGAACTACATGATGTTGGTGCTGGGAACTGAATCCAGGTCCCATGCAAGAAAAGAAAATGTTCTTAGCATCCCTGCCCCTTGGGGCTAATTTATGTGATCCACTTGAGATTTGTTTGTTTGTTTGTTTTTGGTTTTTGTTTGCTTTACTTTTTTTGGAGAAAGTTCTCTTATATATGTCTAGCTAGATTGGAACTCACTCTGTAGCCCAGGCTGGCCTAAACCTTCAGTAGTCTTCCTGCATTATCCTTTTGGGTGCGAGGCATGCGCCGTAACACCCAGTTCTTAGGACTTTGTTTTTGCTTGGAAATTTCAGCTGCTTTATATGCCTTGCGAATCTCTCTGTTTCATCAGTGAAGACAAAGTCACAAAGAGCTGCTTACTTCCTATTAACAAGTCACCACACGGTTTTCTCAGGTGGGATAGAAACTTTATACCCAGTTCCCAATTTGGACATTTTACCTCAATGATTCCTAGTAGTATTGTCTGTTCCAGCTTTCCCTTTGTAGGTGAGTTTGGGATTGTTGTCTTAGACCTGCAAATCTTGCTCTTTTATGGAGGATATTGTAATGGTCCCACTTTCTAGGTGAGCAAACACAGTAACAGAGAGAAAATAACATTGCTTTAAGTTGACAGAAACATCCATCAAGTTAGTAATATAAGATACGGATTGTTTGGTTAAAAATGTCTTTGATCCCAGAGGTTTTGGCTCAATGTCCTCTCACCTTTTGTTTCTTCTTCATGGCTGTCCTACTCATCAAATATGGGTCACATGACTCAGCTAAGTGAAGACACTTGTCAGTTTTCCCCCCTGATGTCCATAGCGTGCACACACCTTTGTTCGTTAATAAGTTACATATATAAAATTCCGTTACAAATAAACAAAGAGAACCTTAAATTATCTTCAAAAAAAAGTCAATTTTCTTTGCAATGTTAAGAGGACATTTGTAAAAATTAAGCATTTTAGTGATATGCTGTACATTGAAAATGCTGCAGGATTCTTTGGTTTTGTCATAGTTTCTTTTTTTTAATTTTTTAATTTTTTTGAGACAGGGTTTCTGTGTGTAGCTTGGAGCCTGTCCTGGAACTCGCTGTGTAGATAAGACTGGCCTTGAACTCACAGAGGTCTGCCTGCCTCTGCCTCCCAAATGCTGGGATTAAAGGAGTGCGCCACCACCGCCTGGCTCATCATATTTTCTAGAACTGTCCAGATGCATAAAGTCTGCTTTAATGTTGACCACTTGAAGATATAATCATCACGGAAAGAGTGCAGGGCTTAGGATTGTTTGGACCACGGTTTTATGAAAACAGATGCCTTTGTATATTTTCTCTTCTTTATTAGATAGAAGTACAAGCAGATAACTATAGTCAAATAACCTTAATACCAAGAGAATTATATAGGCTTTAATGATAATGTGTTTGATTTTGCTCTGGAAGGACAAGGTGCCACCTCCTTGGCTAAGAGCAAAGGGGAAATTTTTCTTTCTTTCATCCTTGCTTGAAGCATGGCTCTTTTAATAATAACAATGAACATCAAATTTTAAGATGGCTAATATTTACAGTGCACTCTAGAGAGATGGAGTCAAAATTTCTAAGAAATGGCTGTACTCATGAATCATTTACATTCAACATACATCCTTTGAGCCCCTAATATATCCTAGTTAGACACTCTACTATATGTTAGATGCATGAAGATGAATATGACCCAAGCCTCAGAGTTAAAAGAAATATATGATAGAAGAGTTAATTATAAGCACGTGTTTGACTAAGATGCCATGGGAGAGCCTACATTGGATGCAGTTCCAGATGCTTGTGTAGTGGAAGAGACAAGAAGAGCATTTTGGAAATGGAATAATTATTCCCTGGTACAAAAGTGTGAAGGTTGCAAGTCTTAGGTGGATGAGATAACTATCTGAAAGTGTTTTAAGATAAATCACAACTGGTTTTTATGAGTTCTGAAAAACTTTGAATTTGGAGTCAAGTTTTGTCAAGCTTTTTTTTTTTTATTTTTCTGTCCTGTTCTTTAAGAAGTCTAGCTTGTTATGACAGTGATTCACTGCTTAACTGTTTTACTTACATACTATTTTCACAATATTTTTTCTTAATCTCCTGTGAGCCAGAGAACTGAAGTGACTAGCCAAGAATTGAATGGTACCAGATCAGTTGCATTCTCCTGAAACAGATCATGCCAGATCAAGTTATAAGATGTCTGAGCACTGTTCTATAGGCCTTGCTATAAACCTTTGTGGAATCAGTCAGAAACTTAACATCAATGAATCTAAACTTGTGATCAAGTCAGGGGTATGGTGATATGAGTGGAGACCAGTGCACTATGATTTTGTTTTGGTGCTGATGTTGAACCAATGCCCTTGCACATGCTAGGCAAGGATTCTGCCTCCTCAGCCTAAGGCTAGAGACCCAAATTCTTTTGCAAATTATTGTGCAGGAGAGTGAGGTTATCTTAAAAAGGAAGTTTGTATCGTAAGACATTTTTACATGGTGTGAGATGGCTGCTCATTTATAATCATAAGCATGAGTATTTATTTACTTATGGGAATAATTTTACATTTATGATCAAGAATCACCAACCAATACATGGCATGCTCATCCAGTCCGATTTCTCTGAGACAAACTCTAGGTAGTTGGGAAAAAAGGAAAGGAAATACAAGAAAAGAGAAGAAAAGGAAAGAAATGAAAAAAAAGAAAAGAAAAAAGGGAGGGAGGAAATGAGGAAGAATAGAAAAGAACTTCTTCTGCCTTACCTGCTTTTCCTTTGAGATTGTGAAGTCTGTTGATCTGCCAAAATGAAATCTAAAAATGTTATGAGCAATCCTTATTTCAGGAGGGTTAGTAACAGTGGCAATAATTGAGGGTCAAGATGAAGATCATCCATTCCAGTGGAAATCACACACTGTATTTTAATGTGACCATGATCGCCTTTTAAATATGCAAACTTTTTTTTCATGGTCTACAGCACTGATTAAGCATCATATCATCTGTAGTTAAAAAAAAAGTTAGGATGTCATGGAAATAACTGTTTAAGAATATGTTTAGAAAATAGTTGAATTCTCAATCCATTTGGATGAAGCCAAAGAATTCATTGCCAATTCTTCCCAATTCAGAAAGTACCTTTCAACATAATTCTTCACATCTATTTTTCTTAAGGAAAATAGTTGCTCATGGATTGTTGCTGTACTGGCTATTTTTATGTCAACTTAACACAAGCTAGAG